GGCAGCTCTGCCGTGACCTCGCATGATTCCTCCACGAATGGGCTGATCAGCTTCATCAAGCAGCAGCGGGACATCAAAATAGAATAAAGTCAGCCACAGCCCTGTTGACGAGTCCTTGTCCCTCTTCACTGTATGCACTTGCATGGTCCTGCCCCTCCCTGCCCAGAGCACACCTCCGGTCGTGAGCTTGGACTTCAAGGCTTTGGGGAGACTTGTGTGGAGTTGCCGTCTACCCACCCTGTTGAAGCAGGCTGAAGTGCTTTGATGCATCTGATCGTTCTCACCCATGTTAACATCCCATCTAGAATAAAGATGCTATAGAGGAGGCGTGCATTGAGCCTCTTAAGTTTCCTGAGGTGGTGCTTTGGCTGTCGGCTGTGGGGGACCTGGCTCGTGCCCTGGTTGGCTCTTGACTCAGTGAAGAACAGATCCACAGTGGAGGGGACAGGGATCTGCAGTGCAGTCGGAAGGCAACTTGGCCTCCAGTCTCATCTTCACCTTTCACTCCTCACCTTGGATTGGAGGCCTGGAAACCTTTCTGCCCACTGACTAGGTTTTCGTTTGCTTATTGTTTTGGTGTCAAAACCTGGGGATGGGAGGGTTTTTTTCTAAGATTTATTTATTATGTATGCAGTGTTCTGCCTGCATGTTTGCCTTTTGCCCAGAAGAGGGCACCAGATCTCATCACAGGTGCTTGTGAGCCACCAAGTGTTTGCTGGGAATTGAACTAAGGTACTCTGGAACAGCAGTCAGTGCTCTTAACCTCTGAGCCATCTGTCCAGCCCCTCCCTGGGATAGACTCTCTTTAAATGATATATTTATTTAGTGTGTGAATGTATGCGCATGTGTGGAGGTCAGATGACAGCTTCTCTAGGAGTGATCAACTTTCACCTGTCTGGGAATCGAACCCGGGTCATTCTGCTTGATACCAAGTTCCTTTAGTCACTGAGCCACCTCATCAGATCCAACTTGTAAAAACCTGTGTTTATGTCTGTGTGAGTGTACAAGTGAGTGCTGGTGCTGATGGAGGCCAGGACAGAGCATCAGATCCGCTGGAGATTTGCTGATTCGTTGTGAGCCGCCCAGATGGAGTGCTGAGAGCAGAACTCGGGCCTCTGCAAGAGCAACAAGTGCTCTTTTGACTGCAGAGGCATCGCTTAAAGCCCTCAGGATAGTTTTAGCTGGGCATTACTGTCACATCCTGGCTGTCAGGCGAGTCTTTGGTGTGGGATTGACTTAACAGTCAAATCACTTCATGTTATTGTGGGCCAGTGAATAAGAACACTTGGCACATGTTTGATCATCCGAATGCAATCCATGAAACCCATATAAACATGGAAGTAGTGAACTGACCCCGAGATTGTCCTCTGACCTCTACATGTGCTGGCATGCACCTCTATCCCCAACCCAACATACACCCAGTAATGAGATTATTAAATGGTACTGCAGCGTATTTGAGGCTAGCCTTTGCTGGTGAACAAGTTCTGGGTTTGTCTGGCTGAACAGTGCAAACCTGTCTCAAAAAACAGGGTGATAGTTAGGAGGGTCTCAGATGTAGCTCGGTGACTTGGGTCCATTCTATCATGTGCACATACAGATATGGCTTGTGATGAGGTAAACGGGTTCTGGACGTTCAGGGGAGGCCAGTCACTGCTGGAGGATGGCTTGTGTGGTTTGGGTTTCAATTTTCCCAAGGTTGGGGTAGTAAGGGTTTCCTGTCCAGCAGGTGGCGCTATTGGAAAGTGGTAGAAACAGAAGGTGGGGCTTGGAGAACACTGCCTCCCAGGGGGAGAGGATACTGAAAAGGCTGGAGTTGGGGAGGGTGGCAGCAGATCAGAGCCCTGATAGAGACCAGACCTTAGTTTTACTTCACTAGAATGGGACAGAGCTGATCAAGCAGGTCTCATGAAAACCACAACTTACAGGTGACAATCTGCAAGCACCCCCACAAGCCCTTCTGCTGGATCAGCAGGCCCCAAAAGCCCTTCTGCTAGCTCAGCAGATGCCCCCAGACTTCTGCAGGCTAAAGATAGCTTTCCCCACCCTGCTGTTGGAAGGTCCCTAACCGCTAGGACCTTCCACCAATCAGACCCCATTCTAATCTTTCCTCCACCAATCAGCCCAAGATTAATCCCCCCTCTCTGGAATTCCCCTAACTCCACTTAAAGGGAGCTTGTGACCTTCTTTGGGGTCGCTCTATTGCCACCTCAACATTAAAATCAGTAAAACACTCTTGTTATTGCATGCGTGGTTGTTGGTCTTTGGGTTTTTTCTTCTTGGACCCTAACAGTGACTTGAAGAGATTTTGCTGCTGACTTCTTTCTCTGCACCCTGGCTGCCACCTTTGATGGTCCCACACTGCCATGGTGTTCTCCAAGCAGTAGAACCCACATGTGCTACTCGGCTTATCCTTTTGGGTCACGAACCATCATTGAGAGAAATCCTAGGAGGAACCATAGAGGAATTGCTTGCTGGCCTGCTCCATCCCACAAGGGGCTGGGGCTCCCTGCATCAGTTATAAACCAAGGCAGTCACAGGTAGCACCAACCCCTCTGATGTACGCAATTCCTAGCCTGAGGCTTCCGGTAGATGGTTCTACACTATGCTAAATGAACAGCGCTGACCAGCATACCACGGCCTGAAATGCACGAGCCAAAGAAAAGTCAACTTCGTTAAGTTGGTTTTTCACAGTAATAAAAAACGAATATTGGGCTGGCCAGAACCAGAATTTTGTCTGTCTGTTAAATGGATTTCAAAAATACCCCTTGTTTGGTTTAAGAAAAGCCACTCGGCCCACACAACTCCAATTAGACCAGATTAGACCAAATTAAAATGCCCGTGTTTAATAAATGCTGCACTCTCTGGTGGCGGGGAGCATGGCGAGGGAGAGAGACAAAGGGGAGGACCCACACAAACCCCAAAAACCATGCATTCCTTTCTCCAGCCTAAATAGCTCATGGGAGTGGTTCTGACCCAGGGGGAGGAGGTCAACGCTTGGCAGACTGGGAGTTGGAGTCCAGACCTGGGCAACTCCCAGGTCAGGGGCTTCCAATCATCCCAGACTTCTTGGACACAGGGGTGTTAGAGGACTGGGGTGATGCCCCCAACTTAATATTACACCCCTTGAGATCTGAGAGATGGCTCAGTGGTTTAGACCACATACTGCTCTTGCAGAGGACCCAATCTCTGTTCCAGCTACCACAGGGGATCTAAGGCCTTCAAGCATTTCCACTCACACGCACAGATGGACATAGCTACACATTCACACAAATTACAAATTTATATAATTATATATTTTAAATTTATTTATTTATTATGTATACAACATTCTGCCTCGATGTATGCGTGCACGCCAGAGCAGGGCACCAGATCTCTGTACAGATGGTTGTGAGCCACCATGTGGTTGCTGGGAATTGAACTCAGGACCTCTGGAAGAGCAGCCAGTACTCTTAACCTCTGAGCCATCTCTCCAGCCCCTATATTTTAAATTTTTATATATAAAAATTTATATATCTCTAAAATCAGCACACACACGCTACACCTTGGGAAATGCTAGGTGGGATAAAACACCGACCAAGCCATCCAAATTTGCAGATTCAACCTGAAGTGAGCATCACGGTCGGTCAGACTTCACAGAGCCTTTTGCTGGACTCTAGCGTCCAAACACCGAGAAGGAGTCGCCCCCAGAGACCACCTCACACACCACAGCTGATGCAAAAGCATGAGGATTTTATTAATTCTGTCATGACTGGGTCCCCCAGCATTCGGGAAGCCGAGGGATCTCGAATAGCTGGTACAGTCTACTTTTAAAGGGGCCACAGAAGCAAGGGGGTTGTTCTTTGACTATTCTGATTGGCTTATTTGAAAGGGCTATTACCAATAATTGACTGAAGAGCTGTAGCCAGATCAGATGAGGTAAGAGGTCATTTTGACCCCGTTTCCCAGGGGACTGAATCAAAACATACGTATATGGGTAATTGTTCAGGAACTGAGTACGTGCGAGTGTAGCTGTTAGGTCCTTGGTTCCCAGGGGAGGAGGGGAAGCACTATGGCGCAGAGGCTGAGAGGATTCAGAAAATTGTTCAGGAACTGAGTACGTGCGAGTGTAGCTGTTAGGTCCTTGGTTCCCAGGGGAGGAGGGGAAGCACTATGGCGCAGAGGCTGAGAGGATTCAGAATTGTCAAAAATGGCTTCAGGATTGTCTTGAAGTCTTACACTTTAAGTCTGCCATGTTAGTAGAGTGCTAAGCCTAGACTGACCAAAGGAGTGAGGTAATTTCATCTCCAGCCTCTGGACGGGCTGAGGCCAATCCTTGTGAGGCTGGCGGTGTGTCCTCCGCTCAGGTGCAAAATCACTTCCCCAGCATTGTATAAGTCTTAAAATACACCACAGGCTCTGGGGGAGTTTTTTTGTTGTTTGTTGTTCCTGGTAGTCTCATCACCAAGACTGGCCTGAGTTTCACTATGAAGTCCAAGAGTGCTGGGATTGCAGGCGTGAGTCACCCTTACCTGGCAAAGCATGTTTTTCAAGTATGTTTATTGATGTGTCATTTAACTATAACAAAATCATCATTGGAATTTTTTTCACGTACACCATGTGCGTTCCTGGTACTCACAGATCCTCTCCAACTGGAGTTGTGAGCAGTTGAGATCCACATGTGTGCATGTTCGGAAATTTTAAACTCAGTCTTCCGTACACAGTTTTACGTGTGTCTTTAAAAATTAAGGGCTTTTCGTTCTGTTTCTTATGGACTGCCGATACCATTATCCGGCCTCCAGTGTTTAATTTTCAGGTAAACTTTTTCGTAGGTCCTATCTCAGGATATCAGAAGTAAAATCTGCTGTCTCTGAGATTGCAAGCCTAGGATTCATGCACCAGTCTGTCAAGCCATGGAATCCGCCCTTTAGCCAATCGGCCGGCCTTATTCGAGTCGGGGCGGGGCCGTCCTGGCGGCGCGCGTGCGCAGAGAGCGCGCCCTTTCCGCCACAGTAGCTCCTGCTGTCACGTGGGTGCCCGGTAGTCATGGCGGCCGCCCGGAAGCCAGTGCTGCTGGGACTTCGAGACACGGCGGTCCAGGGCTGCCCCAAGGGGCCCGCCGCCTGGACGGCTAGCAAGCTGGGCGGCGTCCCGGTGAGCATGGCCGCGAGGCCTCGGCGGGGCCCGAGGGGAGGTGTCCCTCGGGAAGGGAGCGGAGTGAGTCCCAGGGTCTGAGCATCTGCTCCGTCCTCAGGACGCCCTACCGGCCGTTACCGCTCCGGGGCCGCAGTGTGGCCGCTGCGCGCAGCCGCTCGCGCTCGTCGTGCAGGTGTACTGCCCGCTGGAAGGCTCTCCGTTCCACCGGCTGCTGCACGTGTTCGCCTGTGCCCGCCCCGGCTGCGGCGACGCCGGGACGCGCAGGTAGGCGGGGAGGTCCTGGAGCCCAGGAGGGGCGGGTCGGGCTGGGCCAGCCTAGGTGGGGCTGGACTGGAGGGTGGAGCCCTCACGGCCTCTGTCTTGCCCCTAAGCTGGAAGGTGTTCCGCTCCCAGTGCCTGCAAGTGCCAGAGAAAGAGACTCGGACCGCCCAGGTAAAGCCTCTCGATCGGCACCCTGTGCTTTTCTATAATTTGAAACAGACCTTTGTTGGTCTGTTTTTGAGACATAGTCTCCTCCTCTGTAGCCCAAGCTGGCGTTTAATTGCCAGAAACCGGTTGGCCTAAATCCCTCCCTATTTCTGTGGTTATCGTTAATGCGTCACCACCCCCTATTTAGGACAGTTATTAGAAAGGTTTATTTTGAAGGCTGGAGAGAGGTGGTTGAGCAGCTCAGATCTCTTGTTGCTCTTCCAGAGGACCCAGAATCGTTTTTCAGCATTCACACGGCTGCTTGAAATCATCGGTAGCTCCAGTTTCAGGGATTGGAATGTCTTCTCCTAGCTTCAGTGGCACCAGGGAGACACGCACGCATGCACTAGGGACACAATCACACGAAGGGAAAACACGCATACACATAAAATAAATTTTCTGTTTAATGAAGTGGTGGTGCGTGCATTTAATATCACCACTTAGGAGGCAGAAGCAGGCGAATCTCTCGCGTTTGAGGCCGTGCGTGCGTGCGTGCGTGCGTGCTTGTGTGTGTCTACCTGTGACGTTCAGAAGAGGTGTCAGATCCACAGAGCTGGAGTCACCGGCGTCTGAGAGCTACGTAATGTAGGGATGTGCTGAGTGGTCTCTCCAGGCCCCAAGACAAAACTTTTAAACCTGTTTTTTAAAGTGCAACTGAATGAATGTTAAGGCTTTCAGAAGCGTTAAATCCTATTTTCTTATAGCTTTGTGGCTTTTTGTTTTGTTTTTGTTTTTTGTTTTTCAAGACGGTTTCTCTGTAGCTTTGGAGCCTGTTCTGGAACTAGCTCTTGAGACCAGGTTGGCCTCGAACTCACAGAGATCCTCCTGCCTCTGCTTCCCGAGTGCTGGGATTAAAGGCGAGTGCCACCACCGCCTGGGTTTTTGTGGCTTTTTTTTAAAAAAAGACTTTATTTTCAGTCACACATATATGTGTGTGCTATGTGTATGCCAGTGCTGATGTCTGTGGAGACAGTTATCTCCTGTGCTGCCCGATGTGGGCGCTGGGAATTGAACCTAGGCCCTCTGGCAGAGTAGCCAGTGCTCTTAACTGCCAAGCCATCTCTCCAGTCCTTGTGACTTTTTTTAGTTTGCACTTGAGATTGTAGTTTACTAATTTTTCTCATTTGAACAAATGTAGGGGAGTGTACACATTCATGCATGTGTGTGGCACATACTTGGTTGTGTGTAAAGTAGAAAAATAATTTGATTCTATCAAACCAAGACATTTGGAAGTCTTTACTAGCCAAATTGATAGCCTGGGGAGAAGTCCCATGATTACTTCCGAAAGCACAGAAAGTACGTCTCAGAACCGGCCCAGCTGCTAGGCTGCCTCCGGCAATGGAGACACACATGGGTAAATGGTGGCTGCCCTGTCACAGAGCCTGGTATGCTGTCCTTGCTCTCAGAGCAGCTCACTTTGGCTTCCCCTCTCTCTCTCTCTCTCTCTTTCTCTCTCTCTCTCTCTCTCTCATCTCTTTGTCTTTCTCTCTAGTGTTTGGAGGCAGGGTCTGGATTCATAGCTCAGGCTAGCCTGGAAATCTGTGTCACCCACGGCCGTCATCCTGCCTCAGCCTGCCCCATGCTGATATGAGTCACCATGTCCAGTCATGTAACCATGTCACGGCATTGCTCTCTTCAAGTTTCTGGCTCTCTTAAGTGGACCCAACTAGCTAACCCTCACATACATCTAATTCAAAATCTTAGCTGCTAAGGAGTCTGGAAATGTCATTTAAAGTGATCTCTTTTGCCATTTATTATAAAATAAAACTCAGGGACAGATATTAAGGACAAAAACCTGAGATAGGCATAAACGACCACAAAAACACCCCACCAGTGGTGGCTTCTGGCCCCGCCTCCTCTTCCCAGGAGCCTCTCTCGAGTCCTCCAGTAAGTTCTGAATGTGAACCCCACCTCTTTAACCAACACACTATTCCAATGAACATCAGATTACAACATAGACAAAATCCCTGAAACATAGGTTTTTTTCCTGTCTTAGTACCTAGAATACATGAAGAGCTATATCGTGGAACAGAAGATTGAAGAAACCTTGATCATTGTGCCACATTGCCCAGAAAAGACAGTTTTTAAGTCACCTCTGTTTTTGTTTGTTTTTAGGTTTGTTTATTTAATTTTATGTGTATCAATGTTTGCATGAATCTGTGTGCACCCCATGCACAGCTGGTGCCTTTGGAGGGCTGAAGGTGACATTTTATCCCCTGGATCTGGAGTTAGAGATACTTGCAAGCCACCCAAACCTGGGTCCTCTGGAAAAGCAGCAAATGCTCTTAACCACTAACCATTTCTTCTGGCACAGTTTGGTTTTGTGTGTTTGTTTTGGGACAGAGTCTCACTCTAGGCCTCAGGCCGGCCTGGAACTCACAGAGCTCCATCAGCTTCTGCCTCAAGAATGCTTCGATTAAATGGATGCCACCCATACCCCGTCTTAAGATGCTTTTGAGTGGCTAGGATCCAGGAAGTTGAGTTGTAGTGAGATGAGGGAAGGGGCTGATCTGCAGGCTCACTGGTGCTAAGGCTGAAGGTGTAGACGAAGCCATCTAAGTGTGGTTGCCTGTTTCCATTGGATATTCTTCTAGACGCAGGGTAGCCTCCTGGCAGCTGAGCACTGGTGTGAAGGCTCGCAGGACTGGGGAAGCGACAACGAGGAGACGCCTCCACCAGCACCCACCGCGGATTTGGGAACTGAATTGAGTGGAGTCCGAGCTGCAGACTGGACTGCTGCGCAACTCCAAGCTCTGCACCTGCAGGACACTGCCCCGGCTGTGGGGGAAGGGCCGCCCGCCCATACTGTCGTGCCACAGTTCCAGCCCTACTATATCTGTGTGGCCGAAGAGGACGACTACGGCAACTCTGTGGGTCTTGACCATGCCCACAGTCTTCTACAGGACTACCAGCGGAGAGAAGGTGTGGACCTGGAACACCTGCTTTCCCTGTGGTGAGAACTGGCTACCATGATTGAGCGCTTCAGGCAGGAAGCTGCACGGTTGGTTCCCTTCTGTCTTGCTCCCTGTGACGAGTTCTAGAGAGAAGGATGTGATTGGACTCCTGTTCTGCTCTCTTTGGATGAGGAAAGCAGGCTCAGGCCTCCAGGGCTGACCATGGCAGCCAACCCGCATTAACTTGCAGACATGCAGCTGAGTGCCCCCATGACCTGAACCCAGATGAGCAAATGGGTTTGCAGTGTGGGTGCTTACGAACAACCACTCCCCATTTCTCTAGCTTCCTTTTCTCTCTCTCTCTTTTTTTTTTTTTTTTTCGAGACAGGGTTTCTGTGTGGCTTTGGAGCCTGTTCTGAAACTAGCTCTTGTAGACCAGGCTCGTCTCAAACTCACAGAGATCCGCTTGCCTTTGCCTCCTGAGTGCTGGGATTAAAGGCGTGCGCCACCACCGCCCGGCTCTAGCTTCCTTTTCTGTTCTTTCATGTGTTTTGTGTTTTGTTTGGGGGTGCTAGGGACTGAACTTCAGGCCTGCAGAATGTTAAATGAGTAGCTTATCACTGAGCTGTGCCCTTGGCCCATTTTTTTGTGTGCGTGCACACGTAAAGGTCGGGGACATGGGAGGAGAACCTGCTGTTCTTCCACCATGTAGGATCTGGGAAAGGGAACAAGCACCTTAACCCACCGAGACATCTCTTGCAGCCTGCTTTGATTTTCTTGTTGTTGTCTTGATTTTGAGGCAGAATATCATGTAGATGAAGTTGGCCTCAAAGCTCTTGGTGTCGTCAAGGATGACCTTGAACTCCTGATCCTTCTGCCTCCTCTTTCTGAGTGTAGAGATCAGGTTTTATGCAGTGTTGGGGACGGAACCCAGGCTTCTCTGGTGGTGCTCTACCAGCTGAGATAACCACAGCCCTCTTTCTTGATTTCCTTTGTTAAAATTCCTGACAAGGAGTGTGTGTGTGTGTGTGTGTGTGTATGAACAGGCATGCATACGCTGCCGTGGCCACATGTGAAATTCAAGGACATCTTGTTCCTCTTTTTTCAGCATATGGGTTCTGAGAGTTGAACTTGGTCTTTGTAATTGACAGCAGTGCTGTTGCTGGCCTTTTTTTTTTTTTTTTTGAGACAGGGTTTCTCTGTGTAGCCTGGACTGTCCTAAAACTTACTCTGTAGACCAGACTGGTGTTGTAATAGGAGCGGCGGGGCTGCGTCCCTGGCACCCCGGCTGCCTGGCTAGCTTATGCCCTGAAATAACAACACACAAACTGTATTCTTTTAAACACTGCTTGGCCCATTAGTTTCAGCCTCTTAACCCATTTCTATTTTTTTTTTCAAGATTTATTTATTATGTACACAGTGTTCAGCCTCCATGCCTGAAGGCCAGAAGAGGACGCCAGATCTCATTACAGATGGTTGAGAGCCACCATGTGGTTGCTGGGAATTGAACTCAGGACCTCCGGAAGAGCAGTCAGTGCTCTTAACCACTGAGCCATCTCTCCAGCCCCTTAACCCATTTCTAATAATCTATGTAGCACTACGAGGTGCGCCTACCAGGAAAGATTCAGCATGTCTGACCTGGTGGCTGGCTGCATCACCGTCTGCCTCAGAGAGCAGAGCTATGGCGTCTGCCCGGGAGAGGGGAGCATGGAGTCTCTGAGCTCACTTCCTCTTCCTCTCAGCATTCTGTTCTGTTTACTCCACCCACCCATGTTCTAACCAATAAAATGGGCCAAGGCAGTTTCTTTATTTTTTAACCAGTGACCTTCCTCCAACAGACTGGCACAGAGATCCACCTGCCTCTGCCTCCTGAGTGCTAGGATTAAAGACGTGTCCCCCCACCACCCAGCCTTCATGTGTCTTTATAGAACAGCAGGATGAGCTAGCAGCAATGTTCCTTTTTTCATGGCTCTGCTCTGACTCCAGATCTCCCTCAGACTCTGAGACCATTTCAGATTCTCATTTATGAGCTGGGAAGGATAGCGGGGTTTCTGTTCTTTCATCACGTGCTTTGGTGGGTCCCCAGAGAGTAGATGTAGAAAAGCCATGAACCAGAGCACTGAAGAGGAAGAACAGACTCTTGAAAGTTGGCCTCTGACCTCAGCAGGAGCTGTGGCCCGTGTGCACTTGTGCCCCCACCCCCACCCCCCCCAGTAATTAACAAAATAGAGAAAGAAAACCACCTTGCTTCCTCTTGCAAATGCTCTGGTTCTCCAGACGTTCATAGTCTCACATGGTCTCTGCTTTTCTCTTTAGTTCTTCTAGTGATGGGGATGAAAAATATGAGAAGACCAATATTAAAAATGGAGATCAAACGTTTTACAAGTTCATGAAGAGAATTGCAGCCTGCCAGGAACAGATTCTGAGGTAAAGATGACATGTTTTATTTTGTTTTACTGTAGAGGTAGCCTGCTAGCGAGCGCGTACCCACAGTCTCAGGGATTCCTCTGGGTAAAGGTCGCCTGGCCACCTCCACAACAGTGAGACACTCATCTTTAAAATGTATTTTTATTATTTTTAATATGTATATGTGTTTGTGCCTGTGACTTTAGGTTCCATAGACTACAAAAGAGATAGATAATCGTGAGCTGCTCCATGTAGGTGCTGGGAACCGAATTTGAATTCTCTGTTCTTTTTTTTTTTTTCTTTTTTTAAACTATAAACTGATTGGCTCATTAGCTCAGACTTTTTATTAACTCTTAGAACTTACATTAGCCCATTATTCTATGTTAGCCACGTGGCGTGGTACCTTATTCAGCGAGGCAGTCACATCTTGCTTCTTCTGTGGCTGGGTCAGAACTGCAGACCAAGTTTTCCTCTTCCCAGAATTCTCCTATTCTCGTCACCCTGCCTCTACTTCCTGTCTAGTTGTCCCACCTATACTTCCTGCTTACCTACTGGCCAATCAGGGTTTATTTAAAATATAATTGACAGGATACAGACCAATGTCCCACAGCACTTCCCCCACTTTTTTTTTTAAAAAAAAAAAACAGAACTCTAAATCTAATATTCTTTGTTTAGCTTTTCTCCTCATCATTAACCATAAGAACTTATAACCAACATTCTAAACAAAGGAAAATATCCATAGTCCATTTTTTGGGAATGTGGGCGTAGTTTTCCAGGCTACTTCCTGCTGGTTGGGGGCACTGATAATCTTATGGGTACCTAAAGAAAATTTAGAATTATGATCAAGTCCTGACTGGAGTATTTTGTGAGTCTGGATCATGTCAAGCAGCAGTCTTGAATCTGTTCTGGATGTAGAGCTCAGACATCTGAGCCATCTCTTCCTACCAGAGATTTCTCAGGTTGTCTTCCATGATTAAACCTGATTTTTCTTAATTTAGAATGAATCCATAGCCTCTCATTTTCTGTGGAAACAAAAGCAAAACGTCTTCTCCAAAGTAACATATCTTTTGAATTCAATTTTGAAGTCAGGTATTTTTTTTAAAAAAAAAATACTTATTTATTTATTATGTATACAATATTCTGTCTGTGTGTATGTCTGCAGGCCAGAAGAAGGCACCAGACCTCCTCATTACAGATGGTTGTGAGCCACCATGTGGTTGCTGGGAATTGAACTTAGAACCTTTGGAAGGTCAAGCAATGCTCTTAACCACTAAGCCATCTCTCCAGCCCCTAGTCAAGGTATTTTTAAAATAACTATCTGTGATTAATTTAACAGCACTTGTAAACAAATATCTTTTAGCAGCTGTTGCTCCTTCCTCAGCATTTAAACAATTTAAAGAGGGGCTGGAGAGATGGCTCGGTGGTTAAGAGCACTGACTGTTCTTCCAGAGATACTGAGTTCAATTCCCAGCAACCACATGGTGGCTCACAACCATCTGTAATGAGATCTGGTATCCTCTTCTGGCATGCGGGCATACATGGAGGCAGAATACATAATAAATAAATAAATCTTAAACAATTTAAAGAGAACTTAATAACATACAGTGTCTAAGATTCTCTGTGTGTTTTGCATCTTTAGGTGGCTTTATTTTTTTTTTCTTTTTTCTTTTTTTTGGGGGGTTTTCGAGACAGGGTTTCTCTGTAGCTTTAGAGCCTGTCCTGGAACTAGTGCTTGTAGACCAGGCTGGCCTCGAACTCACAGAGATCCGCCTGCCTCTGCCTCCTGAGTGCTGGGATTAAAGGTGTGTGCCACCACTGCCCAGCTCGTGGCATTATTTTTAAATTCTATTTCTTTTATTTTTAATGTTTGGCTTTTTGAGACAGGGTTTCTGTGTATCTTTGTCCTGGAATTCACTGTGTAGACCAGGCTGTTCTTGAACTCACAGAGATCCACCTGTCTCTGCCTCCCAAGTGCTGGGATTTAAGGTGTATGTGCCACCACACCTTTAATTCACAGAGGTCTTCCTGCCTCTGTCTCTGAAGTGTTGGGATGAGTCTTTAATTTGCTAAGTGATATGGCTAAGGTTAACTCCATGGCTCTGGTGGCCATTTTTTTTTTTTTTTTGAGATTTCAGCCTCATGGCGGAGGTACCAGCTGTAGCCATGTTTATTGCCACAACTCTATGGCATTTCATGGTCCCTACCAGCAAGCAAGCTTCAACAGTCTGCTCACAAACCACACTCAAAAGCTCTGTAGCAGGACCTCCTGCCTGAAAGAGTCAGAGTTTGCATTGGCAGGATTGCCCAGAAAGCCAGCATTTTAAAATGGTACGGCTTTTTTCCTGCTATGGCTGAAAACCAAAAAGCATGTGATCGGCTTTTCATCAATACCTTCTAAGTGTTTCATGTCAGGGCCTCTTAAAAGAACTGCAAGGTTTTACAGCTAAAGCTGAGTCAGGAAGCCTCTCTTAAATGAGGCATGTTTGCCTCTAGCGAACAGAGCCCACTTGAGAAAGTGCTGCTATCAATAAGCTTTACTTAACTCTGTTCTTTTTTGTCTAGAATTACTTCCCAAGCTCTCTCAGGCTTTATGTGGATGCAGTTGTCTACGTGGGCGCCATTTGTTGTGGGGGTTTCTGTCCTACCTGGTCCCCATAGTCGTTAAGTCCCAAAGAGGTCTACATTAACTCTAAACTGATTGGCGTAGTAGCTCAGACTTCTTATTAACTCTTATAACTTATATTAGCCCATTATTCTTGTCTAAGTTAGCCATGTGGCTTGGTACCTTATTCAGCAAGGCAGTCATATCTTGCTTTTTCTGTGGCTAGGTCAGGACTACTGAATTCTCTGTTTTTAACCACTGAGCCCTCTCTCCAGCTCAGGAGACAGCACATACTCTTTCTCTTGTACGTGTATGTGGGTGCCTGTGGAGCCAGAAGAAAATATGGGATCCTCTGGAACTGCATTTAGGAATGGTTCTGAGCCATCACGTGGGTGCTAACAATTGAACCTGGGTCCTCTGCAAGAACAACAAGTGCTCTTAATTCTTGAGCCATCTTCCAGCCCCAGCTTTCAACTTTTTAAAAATGATTAGGCAAACCATTTTCCAAAGTCTTTCCCCTTTATCTTCCTTCTCACAGGATGTCTGTGTGTCATAGTCCTAGTTTCTGCACAGTGCTCCAGCACTTGGTACGGAAATGATCCATGCCAGATAGTTATTGACAACCACACTGCTTAAACCAATTAACAATTTATGAGTCCTAGTGTACACCATTAGTCCCAGTATTCAGAAGGCAGGGCAGGTGAATCTCTTGGGTTCAAGGCTAGCCTGGTCTACAAGTGAGTTCAAGTACAGCAAGAGCTACATCATGAGACCCTGTTTAGTAACACACACACACACACACACACACCCCGAGTTATGAATCCTTTTATTAATGGGCAGACCAAAGCAGGCTTGCATTTCTGAAATCGCTTGGTGCCCAACCTCAAAGTACAGCATTTTTAAAGATAAAACCACAATTGCAGCAGTGCTCGAGGTGGGGTTACATCAGTGAGGGGCTTGGGGTGGTCTAGTGGCATCTACTTTCTTACAAAGCTCAGAAGTATTTTCCAGACTCTATATGACAATTGTTTTTTTGGTTTGCACTTCCTCTTAGTTATTTTAGTTTTATGTTTAAGCTTGCACAAACATCATGTATTTTGGTTAATACATCTGCACCATAGTCCCGAAATCATTGCCAAGGCACATGTGGCTATTAGGGGCAGGGGGTGAAAGGCTGAGAAGTATCGAGGCAGACACAGACTTAAATTGACGTAGGATGCCATTGCCTTACTCACACCTCTCAGGTATACCCAGTTTTAGTTTTTGATGTTGTAGAAGGTGTATGGTGGCATTTCAGTTGTGACTGATGCTCACTTCCCGTAACTGAAAGACACGAACCACATTTTCAAGTATTTGTTTTCTACCTCTTACACCTTTTTTTCCCTCTAAGGCTGGGGATCAAATTCAGGGCCTTGTAAAGATTAAGCAAGCACTCTACCACTGAACTGTATCCCCAGACTTCAGGTTTTTGGTTTTCTTTTTATGGTGCATGTTTGAAGCTCCAGGGACACCTCGTAGGAGTTGTTTCTCCCTTTCCACCATGTGGGTGCAGGTGATCACACTCAAGTGGTCAGGCTCAGTAGCAAGGCCTTTACTTGCCCAGCCTGTAGTTTCTGACATAGGATCTTACAGTGCAGCTCGGGCTGCCTTGCAGCTGGCTCTGTAGATCAGGCGAACTTAGAATTTGTGACTTCCCTGGGCCTCCATATTCTCAATGCTAGGATTCGCTCAGTGCTGTTCTGTCAGGTGTTGCCCCATGCATTGGGATACTGTATAAGGATGTGCACTGTTTGTCTGATGAGTTAGGGCTGCTGTGACTGGGGAGCTGCTATGATTCTGAGCCATCTCTCCAGCCCTATAATTGATTTTTTTATGTACTTATTTTTTTATTGATATTTATTGAGCTCTACATTTTTCTCTGCCTCTCCTCTCCCCCTTCAATCCTCCCCCAAGGTCCCCATGCTCCCAATTTACTTAGGAGATCTTGTCTTTTTCTACTTTCTACTTCCCATGTAGATTAGAGCTATGTGAGTCTCTCTTAGGGTCCTCATTGTTGTCTAAGTCTCTGGGATTGTGGTTTGTACACTGGTTTTCTTTGCTTTATGTTTAAAAACTACCTATGAGTGAGTACATATGATAATTGTCTTTCTGTGTCTGGGTTACCTCACTCAAAATAATGTTTCCTAGCTCCATCCATTTTCCTGCAAAATTCAAGATGTTATTTTTCCTGCTGTGTAGTACTCCATTGTGTAAATGTACCACAGTTTCCTTATCCATTCTTCGGTCGAGATACATTTAGATTGTTTTCAGGTTCTGGCTATGACAGGACAAAGCTGCTATGAACATAGTTGAGCACATGCCCTTGTGGCACAATTGAGCATCCTTTGGATAGATACCCAAAAGTGGTATTACTGAGTCTTTTTTTTTTTTTTGGTTTTTCGAGACAGGGTTTCTCCGTTGTTTTGGAGCCTGTCCTGGAACTAGCTCTTGTAGACCAGGCTGGTCTCGAACTCAGAGAGATCCGCCTGCCTCTGCCTCCCAAGTGCTGGGATTAAAGGCATGTGCCGCCACTGCCTGGCCTACTGGGTCTTGATGAAGGTTGTTTCCTAATTTTCTGAGAAATCGCCACACTGACATCCGAAGGGGTTGTACCATCTTGCATTCCCACCAGCAATGCAGAAGTGTTCCCTTTTCCCCACAACCTCTCCAACATAAGTTGTCATCAGTGTTTTTGATCTTGGCCATTCTTTCAGGTATAAGATGGAATCTCTGAGTTGTTTTGATTTGCATTTCTCTGATGACTAAGGGGGCTGGAGAGATGGCTCAGTGGTTAAGAGCATTGCCTGCTCTTCCAAAGGTCCTGAGTTCAATTCCCAGCAACCACATGGTGGCTCACAACCATCTGTAAAGAGGTCTGGCGCCCTCTTCTGGCCTTCAGGCATACAGACAGAATATTGTATACATAATAAATAAATAAATTATACATAATAAATAAATATTTAAAAAAAAAAGAACTCTGATGACTAAGGATGTTGAACATTTCCTTAAGTGTCTTTCAGCCATTTTAGATTCCTCTGTGGAGGGTTCTCTGTTTAGGTCTGTACTCCATTTTTTTTAAAAAAAAAAAAATGGATTATGTGTTTTTTTGGTGTCCAGTTTCTTCAGTTCTTTGTATATTTTGGAGATCAGACTCTGTCTGATGTGGGGTTAGTGAAGATCTTTTCCCATTCTGTAGGCTGTTATTTTGTCTTGTTGACCATGTCCTTTGCTTTACAGAAGCTTTTCAGTTTCAGGAGGTCCCATTTATTAATTGTTTCTCTCAGTGTCTGTGCTGCTGGGGTTCTATTTAGGAAATTGTTCCCTGGGCCAATGCGTTCAAGTAAAATTCCCACTTTCTTTTCTATAAGGTTCAGTGTGGCTGGCTTTATGTTGAGGTCTTTGATCCATTTGGACTTGAGTTTTGTGCATGGTGATAGATATGGGTCTGTTTTCATTCTTCTACATGTTGATATCCAGTTATGTCAACACCACTTGTTAAATATGCTTTTTTTTCATTTGATATTTTTTGCTTCCTTGTCAAAAATCAGGTGTTTGAAGATGTATGGATTGGTATCTGGGTCTTCTATTTGGTTCCATTGGTCCTCCTGTCTGTTCTTATGCCAATACCAGGCTGTTTTCAGTACTGTAGCTCTGCTGTAGTTTGAAGTCAGGGATTGTGATGCCTCCAGAAGTTATTTTATTGTTCAGGATTGTTTTGGCTATCCTGGGTTTTGCTTTACCGTATGAAGTTGAGTACCATTCTTTCGAGGTGTTTGAAGAATTTTGCTGGGCATTGCATTGAATCTGTGTGTAATTGATGCTAACCGATCCAGTTGGTGAGCTTCTGGAGACAGCTCTCCAAGGTGTGGAGTCACAGGCTTGAATCCAGGTCTCAGGGTTGGACCAAACTGCAGAGACAAGGGAGAGGACCACGGAGGCCATAGAGCTGAGGAACAGGACTGGGTGGGTCTGCAGGAGGGAGAGAGGGCAGTTCCGGTAGGTCATTATCTGCAGCTGGGACTGAGCTGAGCAGAGCCCCTGGGCAGTTGGCAGTACACACCAAGAAGTCATGGAACAGGTCATGGTCACCATGGTCCTCTGTGTGGGTCCAGGTGAGGATTTCAGGTCCCTCCTAGGTAGGTAGATGTGTTGGATTACTTCACAGGCCTGGTTTTGCTGATGTAGTTAGAGTGTATCCATGTGTGGCTCCCATCTGCTTCAGTGAGCTCCAAGTACAGCCTTTCTTCCTTCAGAAATGTGTCGTCTGTCTTCCAGGTGAGGCAGAGCTACCCTGCCTCTGAGTTTGTACTCAACATGGAACCAGGGCATGGCTCAGCCAGAATCTGACTGATAGAATATGGGGTAATTAGGGCAGGGCTCAAAGGCTAGCCTGTAAGTGTCTTGTCCAACTGGTCTCATACCCCTCAAGGCTGAAGATAAGTTATTGTCCTAAACCTGTAGTCACCTTGGACTCCTGGATGAGCAGTCTTTGAGGACAGACGGCCCTCCCAGATTAGAGTGGATATCCATGAGGCTGAAGTGATCATTTGAGAGCCCCTCAGTCCCCTAAGCAAGGAGGACTTTTTCCAGACCTCCTTGCAGGAGCAGGATGCATGTTGCTTAACTACGTAGTAATTAGGCAGGTGGGTCTATTCAGTCCAGTCTGGTCTACAGAGTGAGCTCAGGCCAATGTCTACATAATGAGACCCCATCTCAACTAAAATAAAATATTACATTTGAAAAGTAGAAAAAGGAGACTTAACACATTGGGAAGAGTAACTTACTTATAAAGGGGTCCAGTGACCCCTACCTCATCTCTCTTTGGGGCCTGCAGTGGCATTGTGCCAAGTGTTAACAGGACTTCAGTTCCGTTGATTGCTTCACGCAGTTGCTGGGGTGCTCTGCCGTGTGCTCTCCTTGCTGTTAGTTCTGATCCTGTGCAGTGGCCCCAGATGCTGGTCGCTGGCGCGTGTGCCTCTGATGCGTGACTTCCCTTCCTTGCCATAGGTATTCGTGGAGTGGAGAGCCTCTCTTTTTGGCCTGTCCCACACTGGAAGTCTCTGAGGTCCCAGCCTGCAGTGGCTGTGGAGGCCAGAGGACGTTTGAGTTTCAGCTTATGCCAGCACTGGTCAGCATGCTCAGCAGTCCTAACCTAGGTAAGAAGCTCTTTGCTGACTTCAGTGTGAAATGATGCTTGAATGAAAGGCTTTCTTTAATTATTAAATGTAGAATCTATAGAAAAGGTGAGAAATTTATAATCCAGCAAAATTCTAATAATATCACTAACAATAACCATTTTGGTAATTTAAGACTGAACATGCTAATTTGTACTTTTTAAAAAATGTTTATTATTTATGTGTGTGGGTGTGTTATCTGCCAGTATGTCTGTGCACCACATGTGTGCCTGGTTCCTGAGAAGGCCAGAAGAGAGCCCTGGTTTTCCTGGAGTTGGAGAGGTTGTGAGCTGCCCTGTGGGTGCTGCAGTTGGAGCTGCGTCCTCAGGAGGAGCAGCCACTGCTCTTCTCTGCTGGGCCATCTCTGCTGCTCTTAATATTTTTATCACAGTGTTATATAGTCAGATGTTAGTGGCACTTTTGTTGTTTGTTCTGAGACAGAGTCTCATGTGTCCCACCCTGGCTTTGAACTTGACAGATAGCTGAGAATAACCATAAACTTCTATTCTCCTGTGTCTACCTCAGAGTGCTGGGGTTGCAGGTATGTGCCAGAATACCCAATTTTATATAATGAGACTTACTGTCATTTAACAAAGTTGCTTAGAGGCCAGCAAGATGGCTCAAGGTAAAGTTGATGTCTCAGTGGCTAAAGGAGTTTGTCCCAAATACCCGACAACCTGAGTTTGCTCTCTGAATCCCACAGTGGAAGAAGAGAACTGATTCCCAAAAGTTGTCCTCCAGATTTTACATGGAGTATGTGGCATGCAAGCACCCCCCCCACACACACACCCACAAATAATAAGTAAAAATAAAATAAGGTCATCACGATGATTTAGCAGATCACATGCAGTGCAAACCTGATGCCTTGAGTTGGCTCCCCAAACCCATAAAAAGGGTGGATGGAGACAAGTGCCTCTGCAGAGTGGTCCCCTGACCTCCACATGTGCACTACACTACACAGACACAGGGACAGCCACACAATAACCAGACTCATTACACAAACTGCTTAGCTGGAGCTAGCCACATGCTTGTAGTCTCCTTACTTGGGAAGCTGAGGCAGGACTGTGCTTGAGGACAGCCTGGACAGCACACTGACTGTTTCAGAAAGAACATGAATTTGGGTTGGGTTGGGACTGGAGAGATGGCTCAGTGATTAAGAGCACTATTTGCTTTTCCAGAGGACCCAGACTCAACTCCCAGCACACAGGGGGTGACTCACAGCTCCCTGTAACTCCAGTTCCAGGGCATCTGATGCCTCTTCCAGCCTCTGAGGTTACTGTACAAATGTATATCATAAGGCAGATCTCCCATACATGAAATGATAAAATAAACTTAAAACTAAAAACAAATTAGAAGCTGGGCATGTAATCATATACCATGCATTCAGCACTAAGAAAGTAGAGACAGGCGGTTCTCTCTGAGTTTGAGGCCAACCTGGTTTACATAGCAAGTTCTAAGACAGCCAAGGCTGTTACACAGAGAAACCTTGTCTTGAAAAACCAAAGTAGTAATAATAATAGAAGTAATAAATTCTTTCTAAATGTAATTATTCTGTCATTTTATATTCCTTTTTTAAATTTTTTAAAAGGAAAATGTGGTTTGTATCTGGAAAGATGACTCAGTGGTTAAGAGTCTTCGTGGCTTTTGCAGAGGACCTAGTTCAGTTCCCAGATGTCACTCCGGTTCCAAGGGATCTGGTGCTCTCTCTGACTTCACTGGGCCTCTGCATTCATGTGGTACATGTACATACACGTAAAATAAAAAACGTAGTTTTATAATAAAGTAATATATTAGTCAGTTTCTTATTATTAAGAGTAAACTCTCTGAGGCTATGAATGGCCAGGTATGATGGCATAGCCTGCTCTGTGTAGTAAGTTCAGGCTAACCAGGCTAATAATAAGATCTTGTCTAAATTGCTGGACTTTTTTTTTCCTCTGAGACAAGTTTTCTCCATGTTAACAGTACTACCTGTCCTGGAACTTGCTTTGTAAACCAAGCTGGCCTCGAATTTACAAAGATCTGCCTGCATCTGCCTCCCAAATGCTGGGATTAAAGGCATGAGCCACCACTACCTGGTCCAGAATCATCTTATTTCCATAAATTTCATAGCAGCGTCACCACTTTTCATTTTTAATGCAGTCATTTGAGTCCTCTCTCTTTTTCTTAAGATTTATTTTTTTTAAATATTTATTTATTTATTATGTATACAATATTCTTTCTGCGTTGTGCCTGAAAGCCAGATGAGGGCGCCAGACGTCTTTACAGATGGTTGTGAGCCACCATGTGGTTGCTGGGAATTGAACTCAGGACCTTTGGAAGAGCAGGCAATGCTCTTAACCACTGAGCCATCTCTCCAGACCCATTAAGATTTATTTTTTATTTCATCTGCATGTGTGTATGTATACCATATTCATGCCTAGCCGGGCAGTGGTGGTGCACACCTTTAATCCCAGTGCTTGGGAGGTAGAGGCAGGCGGATCTCAGTGAGTTCGAGGCCAGCCTGGTCTACAAGAGCTAGTTCCAGGACAGGCTTCCAAAAAAGCTACAGAGAAGCCCTGTCTCAAAAAAAAAAAAAACAACAAAAAACCATATACATGCCTGTGCCCGCAGAGGTAAGAAGAGGGTGTCATATCCCTTGAAAGTGGAGTTACACATAGTTGTGAGCCATCCCGAAGTTGCTGGGAGTCAAACTGAGCTCTCCAAGAGCAACAAGGGCTCTTAATCACTGGGCCATGCCAGGTTGACCTCTAATCATAGAGATCCACCTGCCTCTGCCTCCTGAGTGTTGGGATTAAAGGCGTGTGCCATCACCAGCCCTTGAACCTCCTTTTTCTTAATATGTATTTGTATGTGTACATACATGTGTTCTTGTGTGAATGTGCTCAAGTACCATGGCACATATGTAAAGGTCAGAGGACAAGCCCAGCTATTGTTCCTCACCTTTGACCTTGTGTGAGGCAGGATCTTTCTCATTTGCTGCTTTCTGTGTACTCAGACTGGCTGGACTGGAGACTTTGTGTCTCCACCTCCGGCTCAGTTCTCCAGGAGTGCTAAGAATACCGACCTGGCCTTGTAAAGCTTTTTTTTGGTGGTGGTGGGGGTGTCTTTCGAGACAGGGTTTCTCTGTGTAGCAATGGCTGCCCTAGAACTCAGTTTGTAGACCAGGCTGGCCTCGAACTCACAGAGATCCACCTGCCTCCCAAGTGCTGGGATTAAAGGTGTTTGCCACCGCTGCCCGGCTTGTCTTGGCTTTGCACGTGGGTGGGTTCTGGGGATCTAAACTCAGATCACTGACTTGAGCAGCATGAGCTTTTACCTACCGAGACATGTTGTGGGTTTTTTGGTTTTGTTTTAGAGTAAAGTTTATTTATGAGCAGTTACCAGTAAAACTGACTTTTGTTTTTATTTTCTGAGGCAGGGGTAAGGTGTAGCCCTGGATGGGTTGATCTGACTGTTTAGCCAAGGATGGTGACCTGTGTTCACCTCGTCATGAATGTACCTTTTAACTTTCTCTTTGTTGGAATCTAGAGCATGTGGTATTTTTCAGGTCTTGCTGTGGAGTTTGGAACAATTCTCGTTTACACATGTGAGCAAAGTTGCTGGCCTGCGAATCAGAAGTCTCCCATGGAAGAATTCTGTATTATACAAGAAGACCCAGATGAGTTTTTATTTAAGTAGAATACTTTGTCTTATTTATACAAATTAAAACAAATTTTCATATTCAAATGCATGTATGTTTACCTTATTTTAGCTTCTCTCTTCCCTTGAGACAGGGTAGCCTTGAACTTGTGGCAATCTTCTTGCCTCAGACTAGCATATAAATTTTTAACTAATGTTTTTTGTTTGATTTATTGTTATTTTTCCTTTATTTTGTCTTGTTGGAGACATGGTTTCTCAGTGCGGCCTAGGCTAGTGTTAAACTCAACAATCCTTCTGCCTCAGCCTCCCAAGTGCTAGGATTACAGGTGAGGACCACCATGCCCAGCTTAATTTACTTATTTGTTCATTTATTATTTATTTTCAAAACAAGGTTTCTCTGTGTAGCTCTGGCTGTCCTGAAAGTCTCTCTGTAGATCAGGCTGGCCTTGAATTCACAGAGATCCTCTTGCCCTTGCCTCCCAAATACTAGGATTAAAGGTAAGAGTCACCACTGTCCGGGTATTAACTTTTGTTTTTGTTTTCTGTTTGTTTGTTCGTTTTTGTTTTTGGATAGAGGGTTTCTCTGTGTAGCCCTGGCTGTCCTGGAACTCACTCACTCTGTAGACCAGGCTGTCCTCAAATCAGAAAAACATCTGCCTTTGTCTCCTGAGTGTTGGGGTTAAAGGTGTGAATCACCACCAGGCTTAACAGCTATTTTTAATATTGCTTTTTTCTTTCTTTTGGAGACTATGGGGCTTGAAGCATTACCTCCTGACTGCATGGCTCAATGGACTGTCTGTATGGTAGCAATTACGACGTGTTCCCTCCTGGCCTGGAGGCCAGTGACCTCATCCACAGACACCCTGGCGGACATTCTGTCGCTAGCATAGCAGTCAGCATCTTCCATCCCCCTCCAGTGTACCTGCTGCACCCTTTCCCAGACCTGCAGAAATCCTGCCCTTAGACCCTAGCTGCCCTGACCTGTCCTGTGCTTCCCCAGTCAGCATTCTGCTCTTGCAGCATCCGGGAAGGATCTCTGTGCCATGGCCCCCATCCACCTTCCACTTGCCCGGTTTCCCCTTCCTGTATTCAGTTTCTCTATCACTAACCTCCATTTCTTCTCCCTTGACAGCAGTTTGGGAACACTCCCGCTGATCATGTTCCAGCATGCTCTTGGCTCTCTGCAATGGGGAGAACTGGCCCTGATGAGCGCGGGGTGTGGTCATGTGCACAGTGTACCTAGTGAGAATTTTCTCTAAGGAAACTGGCTGTGTGCACAGACAGAAGGCTCTGGTCAGTGAGGTTCCTGCAGAGCTTGCCTGAGCATCCTTAGCTCTGCAGAGAGCTGTCCACTCCTCTTTTCTGCCATGCCCGGAAGTCCCCGCCAGCTTCTCTATCATGCCTGTGGCTGTAGACTACCGCAGCTGGCTAGACCAGTTACTCCAACTCGAGCAGAAAGTGACTGATTATGTCACAGCCATGGCGCTTTATTCAGATGGTCAGGGCCGTCCTGCTCTGGTCAAGGGGCATCTTGACAACAAGAAGAGTTTGAATCAGGTGCTAGTGGGGATGGTACATGGGATTAGCTGGGTTGGGAGGTTGCTTAATGGTAGAGTTTGGCAAGGCTCTGGTTACATTCCTGACACTACAGAAAGAAAAAAAAGCCATTCGTACCTTTACGGATTGTTAGCGTCTTTCAGACAGGGTCTCCAGTTTGCTGTGTAGCTAATGATGATCTTACTTGCACATCAAAGTTAGAGGCACATACCACCATGCTTGGATTTTAGGGTACTGGGGTTCACAGCCAGGCCCTGAGCATGCTAGGCAAGCACTCTGCCAACTTACCTCAGAGCCTTCTTTAGTTTTTTGAGTCACAATCCCAGGCTGGTCTCATACTAACCTATACTCTCTCTGCCTCTCTGTGTACTACTTTCAGGGGAAGGTAGGCTGCTGACCAAACCTGCGTGTGTGTGTTTGTAGGTGTACACAGCAGTCAGAAGTGGGCTGTGATGACCTCTTCTGTGCGTCTCCATCTTATTTAATGCATGAGCTCCCTGAACCTGGAGCTGATGTCTTCTGCTAGTCTGGCAGCCAGTGAGCCCCAGTGACCTTTCTATGTCTGTCCCCATCACTGCTATATTATAGAACTACAGGCCTTCATAGCCCATACCCAACTTGTTATGTAGATGCTGGGATCTGAATCGGGACCTTGTGCTTGCATAGCAAGTGCTCCTACACACCGAATCATTTCTCCAGCCCTGCTCAAGCATCCTCGAGGTTGGTTATATGCCCTTGTGGTGGGTGTTACCTCTTTAAAGCATACAGGTGGACAGAGGCTTTCCTACAGTCCTATAAGAATACACTATGATGTTAAGAAAACAAGCCTGCTCTAAACCCATTTAGATGCAACACTGTGTGTGAGGTCATGGGTTGCAGAAGTAGCAATGTACAAAGGAAGTTACACACTTAGTACTCGGTTAAAGACACGGGAATAGAGAGGTGCAGTAGGCCAGGGTTGTTGCGTGGGGAGAGGGGCTTGCAGCTCTTCCTGCACCTATCAGCATAAGTTCCTATTAGAACTTGTTATGCAGGGCAAATATCCAGCCTCCTGGGAAGGGTATCTGTTAGATTAGCTTCAGGGTGGTACTTTTGAGCATTGGGCCTGTTTTGGGGAGAACTCAGCCCACATGCAGGAGTACCTCCACCCTGTTGAAGCTGTCTTTTCTTTCCTATACTTAATGTATCCAGGTAGTGCATAAAAAATCCTCTAGGCCAATGTGTGTGTGATTGTGAGCCAGTCACCTGCAGAGAAAGACAGCAGCTCAAATAGCAAAGTTTCTGCTTTCTGTCTTTAGAATTACTGTTTTCTGTGATGAGCATGAACTGAGAAACAACCACAGACAAATAAAAATACCAACCAGGGTGAGCTCAGTGGTTAAGAGCACTGACCGCTCTTACAGAGGACCAGCACCCACAGGATAGATCCCAGGCATCTGGATGGAACTCTACAGGCTCTGTATGCACCCGATGCACAGGAACTCAGTAAAAATAGAAATGAGGTAGAGAGAGAGAAAGTACCTCAGTTCTCCGCCAGCCTCCACATGTGCATGCGCCCAGACACACACACACAGAGCAATGCATCCTGACGAATGCTGACTATGCTGGCGTCTGTAAATCGGGACTTCTTTGTGGCCAGTTAGTTCCAAGACAGAAAAGTAGGGGCCGATGAGAGCTTCTGTGACCTGATTCCATCAGAGGCAGTCTGTCTCTGTGGCCTGCCTTGAGAGCGTTATCAGCTGGGAATGACTGACAAAAGCCACAGTATGTATCAGATAGTTGGTTGCAAAAGTAATTGCAGTTTTTGCATCGCTGAAAGTTGTTTTTTTTTTTTTTGAGTGAAAGCTCATGATTTTATTGTCTTCATAACAAGGTCAGCTTAGAACTGGATCACTTGTCCCTTTCTCTTCTTATCACCACCCAGTTCAAAATGCTTGCATCTCTTAATAGCCAGCATCCTCTTAGATCTGCAGTTGGGCTCCACACATTCCAGTCTCAGCACAATCTTCTTTGTAGTTTTTGCCTTTTTGCGGAAAATAGGCTTAGTCTGCCCACCATAGCCACTCTGTTTCCTGTCGTAACGCCGCTTTCCCTGGGCATACAAAGAATCTTTGCCCTTCTTGTACTGGGTCACTTTGTGGGGTTGGTGTTTGCCACATTTCTTGCAGAATGTACGGCGGGTCTTAGGAACGTTCACCATGTTGGCGGGTGCGATATCGGCACAGAAAGAAACTCGCTGAAAGTTTTTGCTTAATATCGCAGTTTATTTTTTATGTGTATGAATGTGTGTGTGTACACGTGTGTGTGCGCCTGTGTGTGCTTTCCTACAGAGGCCATTAGAGGGTTTTAGATGCCCAGGTGGTGGAGTTACAGGCAGTGGTAAACTGCCTTAACATGAGTGCTGGGAACTGAACTCAGGTCCTCTACAGTAGCACTATGCTCTTAACCTCTGAATCTTCCCTCCAGCCCGTGGACTATGCTGATAAATGTGGCTGTGCTGTATACCATTTTACTATGCATTTTCTACTTTTTTTCTAATGACTTGCTTGTGGTTTATTTTATATTATGGAAATTATGTTAGACAAACTTGAGATTCAAAGCTGGGCTGCGGTCGCACATGCCTTTAGTTCCAGCATTTGGGAGGCAGAGGCAAACAGATTGGAATAATTTTGTGGTTTGAGTTCAGAATAGGTGGCGAAGCAGCAGAGATGACTCTGGACATCCACAGAAATTTGGTGGGCTAAGGAAGAGTCCACGGAGCAGTGGTTCCAGAACTGCTAACTGACTTCCACTTGGTAATGGCTGACATCAGGAGTTGACAGCTGCAGGGGGAGTTTTCAGAGAATTCAACACGGACCATTCAATCAATGGTCATTTGAAGCAAATTGGAAAGGTGAAAAAGCTTGATAAGTGGGTGCCTCATGAGGAGACTGATTTTTTTGGGGGGAGAGGGGGTCTGAGACAGGGTTTCTCTGTAGCTTTGAAGCCTGTCCTGGAACTAGCTCCTGAATTCTAAAGTCTGCCTGGTTAGTGTACTTTTGCTGGTTTTTTTTTTTTTTTCTTTTAAGACAGGGTTTCACTGTGTAGCCCTGCCTGTCCTGGAACTGACTTGTAGACCATGCTGGCCTTGAACTCACAGACATCTGCCTGCCTCTGCTTCCTGAGTGCTGGGATTAACAGTGCCACAGCCACCTGGCTGAGTGTACTTCTTAGATGTACCTGCTTCCCAGGTACTCAGAAAGCCAAAGTGAATTAGATTGGCAGCTGACTACCAAACAGCAACCATCATCTTTTTGGTTCAAGTTTGACTTTCAGGAAGGCATTGGCGTTTACCTGCCCAACCACTGAGCTGATCATAGATGGTTGCTGTATACCTTACATTTTTTAGAAATTTAATAGTTTCATTTTTCTAAATGTACAGTTGAGTTGATTGAACCTGTTCCTGCATCTTCAACAGTAACTGGGGCATCTTCACCCTTCGTGTGTGTGTGTCCAAGCAATATGTATTGGCAAAGAATAGGTCC